ACACACCGAGACGAGAGCATGTACGCGATGATAATGGACGAATAATCGCTCGGTCCCATCGACGTACAACGCTAACACGATTTTCGAATTGCGCCTCGCGCACACTGCGCGATAACGAGCCGATGAAGCGACTACCAATTATCATGCAGTAAGCTTGACGAAGTCTGCTTACAAACAGAAACGGTGTAACGTCAAACGTGTCCGTTTTGCTGATTTATATATACGTACGTCAAATCGTATATATACGTCGTCAAGCGGAAATATGTTCTGGATTATTGTTCGGTTAATTTTGTCAGAGGCCTTAATTCGCGCCGCGAATGCGCACAGTTCGATCCACGCGTATCTATAAAACGTTCGAATAAATAACTTAGTTTGTTCGATATAAAATAGCCGATAGCCGGAAAGAAGAAATCGATAATTCCTCAAACTGGCAGACATGTCAAGTGCGGTTCAGAGGAACACGGAACCACGCTATCGGCCAGGATCAACTATCGTTGCAGTTTCATTTGTGCTTAGTTCGGAGGATTATAGACGGGACACCTGACGTACTCCCATCGAATCGTTGGAACGAACGAACGCGAACGAATCGGGAACTAGATAGAAACAAATAAGAGAGAAGAAGATAGAGAAAAGGGATCGAAGGAAAAGAAGAAAAAAAAAAAAGAGAGAGATTTTGCCTTGGCGCGGTAGTCGAGTTTTCAAGCAGGTAACCTCTCCAATCCGAAATCCTTATTTCGAACGAGGACAAACAGGAGAAATCGCTGCGGAAAAAAAACGCGCGACCCCGTCGGTCACCGGTTCATCCGGTACGAACGAACGGTAGGTACTCGAAGAACGACGAGAAAGCCGATTTTGCGCACAGAGCGCATCGCGCGACAGGAAAGTTTCCAAGTCGGATTTTCATTCGGTAGTAACGGCCGGCAAAGCGGGCCAGATAACATTGGGGAACATCTCGCGCGCAGGACGAGTTTTAGCATATTCGTGTGAAAGGTTAACATTCGCGCACATGCCGGATTAACTTGGCGATTGCGTTCTACGCTGCGCGTAGAGCGGAAAGAATGCGGTTTGTTGAAACTCCAAAAGACGAGCGTTTTAATCGACTTTTATTTTTTCAACGAATTATTAAGATAAAAACGTCACTTTGCGCGCGCGCGTGTATAGGAAAAAAAAAAACAGAATTCGAGAGAAAAGGAGAACGTAAGATATTTTTGCAATATTTTCAAAATTAGTTAGGGGGGATCTCTCATATATGTGATGCAAATCCAGCATCCAATATGAATTTAAGAATTGATATTCAATTCAAAAAACTCGCGCGTAAAAATTTACACGCAAACAAATATATATATGTATATATATATATATATGCAGTTTTCCGCACAACATCCTGCGATCGGCTTGTATGACCGCAAATATATTTCTTAGTTGAGAACGTAAGATATTTGCATCGAGTAAAAAAAAATAAAAATATCGCGCGAAAATTCGCGGAAAATAAATGTAACGTATATATATATATATTTGAGGAGAGGATCGTGTATTACAACAACTTAAATTACCTTAATACATCTTGCGCAGCTAACGTTGCGAGACTGGCGGGGGAGGCGCCAAGACGCGCATCCAACCAGTCCTGAAGGTGTCTTCGTGGCGCTGACTGTGGCCGAGGCGTCCGGATTTCCGGCTGTCGTGTCCTCGGGTTCGCCAAATTGCACGCCACCTGGCAAGACGAATAGTTCGACGTGGAATGCGTCGCAATGAATCCACGAAACGCCTCGTATACCACCGACCTCGCATCAGGATTCTCCTACCCGGGACAATGTTACAAGAGCTGTTACTTACCTGGCACTATAGTCGAGATCGTTGCGCGGACATTCCGACAAGTACGAGCTGAATGATAGAAAACGGAGTGATTTTGCGCGAAATTACACTTTTCGAGAAAATATATCGCGTTCGATGAGCAAATTGTCAGCTTTTCTGCGGATTGTTCTTTTTTTTTTTCCCCCAATAAAACTTAATATATTTCTCAAATGTGTGTTTCAAAACACATCAGTTGTCATTGCGCTTGATGTATTAAACGTAATTTTCGGCATCAATAGCTCGCTCCGCGTTCATTTATCAATTTGTGACTTTGTTTGCGAAGTTAGTTATCATTCCCCTTTCAGTGCTTAGTCTGTGTTGCACAGCGCGTGCAAACACGACACGGACGATCGCGGACACGATGGCGGGAGCGGTAGCAGCAACACCGTATCGTTTCTCCTGGGGTTTGCGTTATTTCATGTCGTTTGTGACTGGCGCGGCTTCCACTATTTTTCGATCGAACGTTTGACATGTGTTTCTTTTCTCTTATCCGCTCTATTTGTGGATTGGAACAAAGCGCGTCGCGGAAGAATATTTGCGTAAAACCGAAGGGAAAGATGGAGAGCGCGTGAATTCTATGAATACGTTTCCCACCAAGTTCAAATGCCCATGCGATTTCTATGTGTCTCGCGGTGTCTGCGAGGGATGTCTGCCGACATCTGAGGGATGGTTGCAAAATGTCTCTCGCCGGTACCGTAACGCGACAACCCGAATATAGAAACTTAGAATGAAGTTATATCAAATAGTGCGAAGTTATGATATAAATTCTATATACATATATATATATATATGTACATATATATTTTTCTCTTCATATATCGCACAGCATTTCGCGATTTTGTTTTTATAACTTATTTTATAACTTATTTTATAACTTGTTTTATTTTTTTTTCAATATTTTATATTTTGAATACTTTTCATATTATCGAAACTATGCCGAGCAAATAAAATTATATTAAGTATTAAAATCGATACCGTGTTGATATGCTGCTGATGTATGTACACGTGCACTTACATATGTTTATTTACTTTCTTTAAACGTGTAAATTAATACACGTGAAAATATTCGAATTAAATTCGATTCGAAAATTTACATAAGGTGCTTCTCATATATGTGAAATACTCAATTTACCTTTTCATGGGGAAATTAAAAAATTCATTACGAAAAAGACATCAAACTCGGATCTCCTGATGTACGCATATATATATATATACATAATATATAATTGCACGTACATCCGGCATATCGGCTCGGTCTTAAATATTTAGTTGTACGTTTTCACGAGCTTTTAACTGTCGTAAAATTACATTGTTAATATTAAATAACAATTGTAATTTTATACTCGGGATGCGTTTCACATCTCTCTTTTTATTCATTATTATAATTGCTTCTCACAATATGTACCAAAAAAAAAAAACTAATGACACCATAAAAATTGTTATATTGTTATAGAGAAAATTGTTATATTGTTATATTGTTATAGTTGGCATAAAAATTGTTATAGAGTTGTTTAAAAAAAATGTTTTACATTGTGCGCGCAAGGAGAGTGCGTGTGTATACTTTACACACAAGTCAGTTTGAGTCCGCATAGAATCGTGTGTGTTTTATAGCGATTTGTTGTATAGCAGTTTTCAACGATCATCTCGTTTCTACAACATCGCAAAGCTCTTTCGCGCGCATTTTCCCCCAAAGCTGGTGAAAGATCTATGAAGTTTTTAGTGGATTTCGTTGTAACGACGTCTAGTAGATTTTGATAGTAGCACCGTTACTCTCGAGCGGTAATAACGACAATCGCGATGTTTATTGCTCGAGTTCCTGACTTTGCCCCATCGTAAGGAAGAAATTCCAACCCGTCCTCCTGGCCGACTTTAGACCCCCGATCGTTTACTTCTTGAGGTTTCTCTAAGAGGGTTGCCGAACCTTACATAAAAACCGCACAGCTGACAGGCATTGCAAAAAGATTTAATCGACCATACGCGCGCGCTCACGTTTGACTGTACGTCGTCCGGGACCAATAAAATAAGGACAGACTCGAACGATTTTTCCTGTTCGTTGATTTCAGAATCAAAAGGTTAGGTTTCTCCGCGCGTTTTTCTCCGCGCTTTGTAATTACGCAGAATGCCGCGTTGGAAAATAAACCTAACAATTATAACGTTTTTTAATACTCGTTGTGTGTACAGAAACACAAAGCGCGTAACCAGATATAATCTCAAATATCGTAGAAAAAAAAAAAACTGATGCTCGCAATCGTTTTAAGAGAAAAATCTGGTATTAGACTTTAGAATTTAATCCGTACGGCGCGAAATGAGAAATGTTGCCCGATCGATATATTTTCCTAATTGTAAATAAAATCGCGCGAGATAGTTGATCGCCGTTCGATCTCGCAGAGCAAATTTATTCAGGGCGATTGATCCCCGGTATGAAGTTTTCCCATGGCGGGCGAAGGATTCGTTTCCGCGGCGCAGCTTTTTGTTGTCCAACGAAAACTTTAATGGAAAGATTACAACCGAATGACAGTAAACGTAACGACCGCGAATTGAAACCGTGAATGAGATCGCTGAAAGACTAATAAGTATAGTGATTGGATAATATCCCGACGGCGATGCGGCTCGAAGCTTCGAGCCATTTGCCACTTATCCCAACTCCGCGAACAACGATTGCGACGACGACGTCGTAATTGCTATTTACGTTCGTGATTCCCGCGAATACACTCCAACTTTAAAGAGCGCTTCCCAATGATGGCGCTATAGTGCGACGTATCACGCACTTGTTGTTGTTTCTTTCTATTGATTGTCTTTCGAAAGAGAGCTTTACGGCAAACACAATGCGCTGCCGATTGTATGGAACGCCAGGAATGAAAGGTCTATTGTGCGTTTACATTTGAAATAATTTTTTTTTACTCGCGCACAATTTGTTGCAGCACACAAAACAACGATTATGAATAATAATTGTTTCAATACTCTTTTTGTTGTTAGTTAGAAAAAAATTTTGAAGAAAATTTCAATGAGAGGAATAATTAAATTAATTTTTAACTGTATAAAAACAACTGTGCTGTTTTATGTATCGATGTGTATGTATATGTGCGTACGTACATTATGTTCTTCAAGTCAAGTTTGTTTTAATTAAATTAAAACATGTCATGTTCCAGGATCATGTAATCAGTCCCTGGGAATGGAATCGGGTGACATACCGGATTCCGCGATCACTGCGTCCTCGTCGTACGTGACGAACGTCGGACCACGAAATGGCCGGTGAGAGCGTATTACTTTTACGACGTACTATATATATATATATGTGTTCCCCGCAACGTTAAAAGATACGTTGCTAACCGTTTTTTGATGCACTACGCGCGAGAAGAGAGTAGAGATTCGTCCATCAAAACTACGAGTTTAACGCACTGACATTGTCCGCGGGAGGTTGTGCCGCGCGCGATGCATTATTTTTCTGCGTTCTCTTTTTCGACGCGCCCTCGTTCCTCTATATTTTACGCAGCTGTCGCGCATGTTTCGGTTTATAACTCAGCGATCCCATTCATCCATCTATTGCGAAAGTTTGCTTTTTCCGAGCACCGGCGATATTGATTCAACGCTCACACATCGCGAATTTAACTTATTCAAACCTAATTTTCTCGGAGTTAACTGTCTAACTGTGCCCGTATACGCGACCGTCGTTGGGCGTACAATTCGATCCGCGAAAAATATAAAGTAATTATAAAAAAACAAGATGAGAGGCAGTTGAAGCAAGACACGGATGTTGTTGTGCAAACACGTGAAGATGATTTTTATTTTTCAAGATGTAATGTGTATGTATAATGTGATAACGTTTCGACCATCGGTTTTAGGTCTTTATCAAAATCTTTCTACAAATTGAATATAAAAACAATAGATTTCAAAGAACAAAAAAATTTTTAAATACAAAATACGCATTGTAAAATTAATACGTAAACTTACAGTAATATGCTGTTATTAAAGTCGTCGTGTAACGAGATGGATACATGTTAACACGTGAGCTGAGTCAATTACTGATTGAAAATTTGAAAAATACATCAAGATGAACAGTGAATTCAGAGGTCGAAGCATGCGCAATGAAAAGTTTAAGCTGTATTAACGACGATTTAATTTTTAAAGTAATTATATTTTACGGAAGATAAATATCTGTACGCGTCTATTTTTCTTACATTTTGTTTTCTACGAATCAATTTATCGTGCCAAAGTGTAACTTAAATACGAGAATCTCTACTGTACAAGAGTAAAATTACATTTACGCAGAAGTTTAATTTGATTATTAAAGCCGCGTTGTGACAAAAAAAAAACTTGTACATATTGCCGTATAATTGCACGCAAAATATACGTATCGGAAATTGATGTAATTAATCAACAAATGAATAAAATAAAATGAGAGAAGTGTGCAAAATTTAATTTTCTGTTTATTTCAATATGCGTTTGCGTGATAAATGTTTCATAATGCAACAGATTAATGCGCTATATCTTTTATTGGAGCAGGATTATACAAAGTTATATTGCAAAATACGCATGTGGTTGCTAACAGATTGCGTTGTTAAAAAATTAATAAGCAAAAAAAAAAAACAAAATTATGAATACATACAGCGAGAAAGTGATCGCGCCGAAATTAACGCGTTCCGCCGCGAGATAATTAAAGCAGTGGTAAAAGACAATCATTGATCAGACGTCAAGCGCGCTTGATAAATGAGTATTGCCGGAAGGTTCGAATTCAGAATTGTCGGTTCGGGAAGAGCTCGCTGCATATACATGTATATACAACAATGCCTCATAAATGGCTCTTAAAAAAATCGATTTATATACAGAATTATGATGAATTGACGAATACGTGCGTGTAAAAGAATTTAATATGACAAAAATCATACATGTGCGCAAATAGAATTTTTTTTATTATTTAATCGAAGTTTTTACGGAATTTTTAAAATATAATCTTCAGCAGAACGAAAAATAATTCAGTGCATTATATCTAATACCACACAGAAAGTTACGTTCTCTCCGCGTTCGCGGCTTTACAATATTAATAACGAGCTTTGTTCGTACTTAGTTGACACTTTTCACGCGTACGGAAGTTTTCGTAAGAGCGTAATTTACTTAATAATGTGAAATTTCTATCGAGGCCGCGTGTATGAAACTTTTGCAACAATAAAACTTTTTCGTATTGAAAAGACTGTGTCATGAAAAACTCTACGTAAATGGCAAGCGAAGTGACGCGGCGGAAACAAAAAAAACGCTGTCTGAAAATCAATCGTCGGCGAAAGGAAAGCCAGAAAAAGCGAAAATCTTCTTGTTTTGTGGTAAAGCTAACTTCGTTATTAAGTACGAGGCTCCACTCTCTCTCTCTCTTTTTCTCTCTCTCGGTCAGAAGTGCTTGAACTGGCGTAGACTTTTATTAGCACCATTTAAAGCGAACGTAAATAATCGACAGAAGAGGAGAAAACGTGAGCGGAAAAGCACACGAGTAAAAATCACGGATTTGCCGTTTAAATATACTTTTCAGACGGTGTGAAAGTTCTTAAAACCTAGAAATGATCTCGCGAATTGTTCTTTTTAGTTCAAAAGATAGTAACAGAATCGCGCCGTACAATAGGTATAATTGCACGAGCAAACTTTCCGCGTTCGCGCGTGCGTGTGAGTGTGTGTGTGTGTGTGTGTGTGTATTGTACATAAAAGCCAGTAGAGTGTAATAATTCCGTGGCAAAATGAAATCTAACGATTCACATTTATTCGCTTGCAACTCACGCAATTGTATACGCAATTATCTTCTTTTTTTTTTTACAATTTTAATGCAATTTTATAATCCTAAAATACGAGACATAGATTTTATACATAAAAATTCTCTGAAACCTTATAAAAATAATTGTTTGTCAGATACATAAAAAAAGAAGAAATACTATTATTAACACGTATTAATAATACAAAATTATTCTCGTAAACTAGACTTCGGACGGAAACAGCCGGCGGTGCTTGGTGTCCCAAACACCAAATAGAAAAAGGGGTTCACGAGTGGCTTCAAGTTGATCTGCAAGGTACTCACGTTGTTACCGGTGTGCAGACACAGGGCCGTTTCGATCGCGGTCGTGGTCAGGAATACGTCGAGGGTTACACCCTGGAGTATCGACGACCCGGCTTCACTCGGTGGCGTTCATATAAACGCTGGGACAACAAAGAGGTAAGGTAGAACAGGGCGCACATCTGGCGATAATATCTATAGGAAAGAGGTGATCGCACAAATTGGGCTATTTGCCAAACTTGCTGCCTCTCTCGCTATTTCTCGACTAATTAACTAATAAATTGAACAGACTGGATCATCACGTTATTTTATGAATCTCTCAATAAATAAAAAATCTATTAAAACATTTTTTAAGAAAACAATGAGACAACAATATTATATATTTTTTTGCTCTTTCTTAGCATGTATATTATACTTTCATGTAATTGCTAATGTTAATAAATGTGTTAACTTTATTTTTTTTATAAAAGAAAAACAATAGTTTTTTAAATTTATACAATTCTGTATAAAAATTTATTTATCAATGTGTTTTATATATATATATATATTTTTTTTTGTTATAATTAAAATATACAACAAATCCGTAACAGTGAAAAGTAGTTATTGCATAGAAGAGAGCAATTGCGGAGTTTGATTACGACGAACATTCAATAGTGGAAGTGTCGTGCGCAGGTTATCGGTAGTTTACACCATGTCTCAATTGGAACAGACTCAAACAAACGTGCGCAAACGATACGTATAGAGCAAACTTGTAAAACAGGTTGCAAACGACCACGCGCCTGTTGTCAAATTGGCATTTTATTCGATTGAAATTGTACGGGATCTCAACTCCCCGAGTTACTTTATTCATAGTTAGAACTCTACTTGGCAATCGCTTAATGACGCTTAATTGGTGGAACTTCTACTAATTAATTATCTGTAAGAAAATTTTAACGCGCAAACTAAAGTTCCTAAAGACGGTAATATAAAGAGAAATAGATGATTTAAATATAAGGAAATGATATGTAATATTTTAAGAAAAGTTAAAATAAATAACACGCACTTTTTGTGGTACCGTATTGTGGTATCGTATGAACAGCAAGTAAATGTACATCGAAAATATTGTTTGCGCAAACAACCGGGAGAAGAGAGGCAGAATATAAATACATTTATAAATACGTTTATAAATTAAAAACTATATCTACATGGATATATATCGGAGAATAAACCGCGCAAGTATGCAATTTTCACGATTTGTTTATTCGAAAATTTTATTATTCAATGTGCTTGCGAACTTGTGATTTAATTAATACGTAATTTCATTTATTTGTGTAACAGTGAACGGATATACGGCTAGGATATTCGCGCGTTGTCATACGAGTATAAAAACTCAATAAAAGTACATTTCGCAGTTATTTTTTCAAAAAAAAATAAAATAAAATAAAAATGTCTTTTCACGTTTAAATAAAATGTATTCTTTTTTCTCGCGCGATATCAAAATTCTTTTTGTTTCACGGTTGATTGGATCACCATACGTTCAACTTCGATTTCGATTTCGAGCCACAGCTTCTCTATGGTACCCCTGCGCGCCGGGGTATCCCAGTTGAGAAACAAGGAACTGAGAAGCAATCGATAAACGATCTACTCTTGTGCTAGAGAATTGCACGTAACGTCTTCGTGCCGTAACGTATGGTTAAGCGTCGCTAAAAGTGCAACTTCCCCTTTTCGAGAACTAGACGTTTTCAGTCTACCCTTTTCCCTCCTTGTTCTTCCATCGGCGATATTCTCGCGAATATCGGGCTCGAGATTGAATCGCGCATCGCTGCCTTCGACAGTGCGCGCTCCCATTGTAGAATTATTTCTATAGCGATCGCTGTTTCTATCGCGGTAACTCCTATCGTTTTTTTTTTTTCCTCTTTTTATTACTTTCTGATAACAAGTTTTATAATTATATTTTACAATTTTACCACTTATGCGCATAATAATATTGTATGAAAAAAAGTAATAACGAATAATAATAACATTTTCATATTACAGATAGAAAATAATTTGTTGCTTTTTTATCTTACAGAGATATTCAACTCTATATTGCACAACTCACTTTGTCACATGTATACATGCATACAAACTTACGTCTCTGTTCTATAAATAATTTCACCATTTGTGATGCCAATATGCAATGCGATCATATAAATGATTTAATGATATGGTCATTGCATTATATTTAGATCGAATAATTCCATCGCTTAATTAAATACTCATGCGATTCATAATGAAACTGTGAGATGAGCCGAAGTGCGGTATCCGAGGTCGTAAATAATTGATTGCCAGAAATCGTAACAGTTGGTTACGCCGGAGTGTCAATTCACGGGAAGTTTACGGCGCGCGCAAAGTTTTCCCGGATAATTCGTATTTATTAGCGCGTTACGTTTTTAAAACGCATTATTATTGTCGAAATTGTCGGGACTTGTCATCAGACGGATGTTTCGATATTTTCATCGTGAAAAATTTATGATGCCTGCACACATTTGAGCGGCGCGCGCACGCATTCGGAGTCGGTATATTATATTAACCGATTTCAAAATTGAGACGTCTATATAAATACTGAGAAATTTTCGGAGCGAAATGTGTCCGTTATACAGAGTTTAATCGTATTAACGCTGTATGGTCTTCTCGTGATAAGAGTCATACGTGGTTAAATCCGCAGCCGTCTAGAAAAAAAAAAAAAAAAAAAAAAAAACAAACTCGCCTTTCTCGTCAATACAGCGAATTAAAAACAAATCTCGTTATTCGCGCCGTCGAGGTGACGTTGTTAATCCAAAAATTGTTCTCTTTGCGTGTCAAGTGACGCGCAAGAGTGACGTCGCTAATTTTATCGCTTCTCGCGTTTTCTCTGTTTTATTAGTAGTAACATTTATTGTATTGTTCTCTTTGATTCTCCCCGTAGGTTTTAGCCGGCAACAGCGACACTTCTACCGTCGTGTCGCACAATTTGATTCCGCCTATCTTTGCCAGCAAAATCCGAATTCTGCCGCACTCGGAGCACAGACGTACAGTTTGTCTTCGCATCGAGCTCAAGGGATGCCGAGACTCGAGTAAGTGTTACAGTTACTATAAGAAAAATATGTTGTGCGCATCTCGAACAACGTATAAGTACGCAAATGTTTTAAAATTCGAACTACGTTTTATATATAGTTTTTAAGTGTGTTGTTATAAATTTCTCATTTTGAAATTGATTTTTTTTTATTGTTATAAAAAAATAAAGTAAAATTAATATATTTACGTTTGTGTGTGTACGATTACACATTATTTAAACGTATATAAAATAAATATAAATAAACGTACATCATCAATATCCCTCGTAAAGAGAGAAACGTAATTTTAGAAACACGATAATGACATTTGTTGTTAATCAAAAACTCTTATGCAAATAAATAAATGTTTTTGTTAGTCATCTCTCGTCATATAAAGTTTTGCAAGCACAAAACGCCACACACATCCGTGCAAACTTATTCGGTTGTAGCACAACCGAATTATCATTGAAAATGACATAACAGCAGTATGCGCGTCTCGTGTGCGTTGTCACTAACACGTTCGCATCAGAATTTTCTGTGTGTTGCCAATAAATCAATAAACACAACAAGATAACAGAAGCGACATTAAATAGTCTCTGAATATGCTTCTCGTTTGAGCGTAAACAGAAATTACGGGCACATCGATTTTACTGCAAATATTCGCGAAATCATGAATATTTGAGACCGGAAGCACGTACGTGCAATTGCATTTGCACGTACATGGTTGAATGGCGTTGACGCGACGTCGCTCGAGTGGACATCTAACGATTAATTTCCAAATTGCAATTTCATTCAATTTGCCGAGACGTCGTTGAGACGCTTGTGAGAAGGCATAGGGTGCCGTTGGCTCTAACTACAGCGCTAGATCCCATTAACGTTGGTAACAGCATTATACGGACGAGCTCATTCCTAGGTCGAGCCTGCTACATTTATTTTTGACCCAGTTCTAGCATCTACTGTCTCTCTTCAATGAGCTGTTACTATTTGTATGTGCATTGTAAATTGTTTGTTTTACATCAAAAGAAAAATAACAAAGGTTCTATAACAACAAACAAAATTGAAACTGTCGCAATTTTTTTCTCAACTTGAAACGAAAAACCAAGTGCCGAAACAGACATAAAGATTGACAATTAAATGTAATTCATCTTTTGTTTAAATACTGATAAGTTTAAATGTACAACATAATTTTTATAAAATAATTGTTCTTCTGTCCATTTTTTAATTTTTTTTAATTTTATTAAAGTGATTCGCGATTTGTTGAATATTGATATTCTTACACTTTTAAAAGTTGACCGAGATTTCTTAAAATTTCTTATTTATATCTTTGAATAACATGCAAAACGTGACAACTTTTAATTCATTTTTTCAGTTTTTTTTCAGTAATTTGTTTTGTCTCTCTCCGAGTCTCTCTCTCTCTCTCTCTTTCTCTAGTTTTGATCTAACAAAGTAACGAATGTTAAGTATTCGTGACGCATACGACACCCATTCTCATAATTTATGTACAGGTGCGTGTGTTATGTATAACAAACATGCTGTGCTCTACCACAATGCTATTTGCATAAATTTGCATACAGTTTCTTTTCTCGTCCGCGTTATTTTACCGGACTCCTAAATTCAAGACATAATTTCATACAAATTCTACAAAAGCAGCATATAAAGATCAGAGATAAAAGCACTGTATAATTTTTGTACACTACTAACAAACATTTGCTTACCGCAAGCGTAATGTTTAACAATAAGTTGAACATATTTAAATAAATATTTGCAATATATATATATATATATTGTTTATATCTGTTTTCTTTTTTTCGACTGTTTTTTCGTTTGTCTTTTTACGTGGACACACGCAAGAAATATTTTTTCTTACACATTTTTTTCTTTCATCTTGAAACCTCGCGTAGTATAACACAAAGAAAGTCGGTTGAAAAATTTCTCATTAAATGCTGACAACACAGAAGCTCTCTACTTTCAAATGAAAAACTTGCTATTGTTGGAATATGTTTCACACAAAGTAGAAACCGTCAGTCCGAACGATAATATTACACAAAGAAGAGAGAGAGAAAAACACGTATAAAAAAAACGTTAAATAAAAATGTGATATGTTATATATTCAATATAAACGATTATTTTTTTTAATTTACAGATACATAATTACTCATATAAGTATATATCTACAAATTAGTAGAACTGAGTAACAAATAAAAAAATTTTACTTTTATAAAAATAAATATATTTTTATTTTCTATTAATCGAATCAATTAATGTGTGTGTGTGTGTGTGTGTGTGTGAGACAATGAAGTTCAGAAGCAAACTCTCATACAGGTACACGCAAGTTGAGTAATGTTTCAACAAATAATGACATCCACAGTACTTCAATAAACTTTAATGACGTACAACGAAGTTGTCGTCACTGCCATTAAAGATCCTTTCTATAAAATAATAAATAAGTTTTTTTTGCTGTAATATTTTTATTATCGATCAGCAGATCTTTTTTGAACGATGAGGTCTGTTGTATTATGAGAAATAAAAAAATATGAGACGATCATACACTGACGCAAGTCCGTACCCTTATTATCAGTGCTAGGGATATACGTATTTGCATAAATCATTTTTCTGGGTCGCTAATATCCAACAGCAACCGAGGTCGCGCACGTGCGAGCGATGACGTATGTAGCGGCTACTGGCGGCCGTCGCCGGTAAAACGGCGACATGAGAGCTTTCGCGCTGTAAGAAGTATTCGGAGCGTGTGAGATCGGAGCTCGACTGGGCGGGTATGCCGGATTTATGGCGGTCGTGCACGGCATCTGGTTAAAACAACGTTGATGCCCTGCCCCGAACCCGGTGAACACGAACGATTACTCCCGAATCGCGGGGGGCAACACGGCCTATATTCGGTCAACGGCGATACAGAACCGCCACGACATTGTCCTGCTGCTATTGACATTCGCGGTCTGACAGGATACAAATGTACCAAACCTCAGCTGATAGAACGCGATTGGAAAAAACATGTGTACGTGTGTGTGTGTGTGTGTGTGTGTGTGTATCATTTACGAATATGACGAATATTCGTTCAAGCGACCTTTTATATGGGTACGACAGCATATGAAAAATTATATGTTGATCTATTAACTTTGATTGTAGAATTTTATTGTCGTGAAACAGACAGATTTTTGAAAGAAAAATCAAACTTGAGCTGTTTTTAGAATATAGAACAAAATCTCTTTCGTAGAACAATTGCGCACAAAAAATACGTAATTTATAGAATATATATATATACATTCATCTACAAGTTTTTTTTTTGCTGCTTAATGTCAAGAACACGTCATAAAAAAAAAAAAGGAAATTTAACTTGGAATTTGTGTGACGTAAAACGCACAATTATTCCGGTTTTAAGCAAGTAAATCACCGCGCATTAACAATAATCTACAAACCTCGCGTGGATATATTTCTCTATTCGTATATAAAAGAGAATTGCATTAACGCGAAACTTGTTAGGAATTACACTTTCTCGTTGCGAAGTCGTTCTTAACGATCCCAATGAAAATTCGCAATAATTTCGGGCCGCGGAAGAGAGAAGATTGCTTGGCGCAGATTAGATTAGCGGATTGCCAGATTACAGAGCGGGGAGCGCGCGCGCTGCCTGTAAGAGCAATGTTTCTGAACGCGCGTGCTGAAACACGGGCGTCCTTATAATGCGTACTTTCAAAATGGCAAGGAATAATCAGCGACACATCGCTGAAATGTTCACCAGTTTACACGAACGATTCACGAGCACGTGAAAAGTGCACGCCAAAGAGGTGACTTCGCTGCTCAAATTGCGGATTAATTTGACTCGCTATTTATTTTCTTATCACTGTTACACGGTGTAACAGTACACAATTTTCAGTATTTGTATCTGTGTCACGATTAGTGTGTGTGTGTTTTTTTTATTGTACAACACGAGAATGCGATATACTTCCACATCCCTACGTTATCGTGCCTTTCTTGCCGCGGGCGCGCGCATGTAATTTGCAAGCGTACTACCTATTTTTCTAAGATTCGCGCGAGAATATCTTGTATCTCGATTTAAAAGACGACTATATATAAATATATATATGTGTATATATATATATATATATATATATATATATATATATTAATATATGCGAAAACGAGGTCGGCTTCTTATTTTCATATTGTACGATCGCAGAGAATTTCCCGGTGTGTTAGATGTCAGTTGCAGAACAGCCGCGTGGCGACGAGGCGTTACGTTGTTCTAAAGTAAAATTATTACCTCGGGCGTCATCCACGTGACACGGAATCAAGCAAAGGTACGTTGACCAAAACTGGCTTGATCGCGTGACAACAACGGTCGGACCCGCGCGTACTCGCCGTATACACCGTGAAATATTAAGAGTAGTTAAGCGATTTTGGACACGACACGGCAAGGTGAGCGCACCGCGCCGTTTTTGCGCCACGTTATTAATTTTCTCCACCACGAAAATTCCTAAGCGTACGTCTCTCCCGACCGGCCAAGTCGTTTTAATTAATTTTAATTGATTAATTTTAACTAAGCTCCTTCCGCCACCACGTTCTCGTGCCACCGTTATTAAGCAACGCCACTTCATTTTCGAAGCGCGTTCGGGAACTAGAGCGAAGTGTCGCTGCTCGCAAAAACACACGGTGAATTTTGATAAAACGACGTAGAAGGTAAAAAAAAAAGTGCGAAAGTAAAAAAAAGTTTTTCGCTTTCATTCAATAAAATAATTAATAATCGACGAGTCTGCGCGGGAATAAATATAACATGTAATGTTTTTTTTTTTTTTTCTAATTAAAAAAATATACGCGCACCTTGCAAAATGTATTTTTGAAAAAAATTTTGTGTGTAAAAAAACTTTCTCTAAAAATATTTTCACCCTCGATGAAAGTTTTTTGATTTGTTGCTGTAACAAAATTTCAACAACAACCAACACGATCATTTAGCGGTACAAGAAAGAAAAAGTACTTGCTAAAAAAAAAGAAAAAACGGAGAAAGGTTTATATATAGCACACACATAAATATAGTTGCAAAAGTTTGAAGGAAACACATGTGTATCTCTTACAAAGAAGTTATTGTGTGTGTCTCGCACACAGCTTGTCATGTGAAAACTTTCGTCTTGTTTTAGGCGGCATGGTGAGCTACACCATACCAGATGCTTCCATACCTGAGATGAATGACAGTTTGTACGACGGTAGAAGGCAGAAAGTGGAAAACGGTAACGATTTGTTGACCGATGGCTTGGGTTGTCTAATCGATGGTGAGATCGGCGCGGACGATTACAGACAGGATATAGGAGTTGGAAAAGGTAATTGGTGAATGAACATACACACGCACGCACGCACGCGCACGCGAATGTTACCTAATTAAAAATATTGCAGTATAATTTCAACATCGTTTCGCTCGTAATGGATTTTTCTATTTTAGCAAAGCTAGCACATGATTTTTTTTTTATAACTATGCAAAATACTAAAAATTATATTCACACATTCAATGTAATTTATAAAAAAGTTTCAAAAGAGCTTTGCAGTTAGTTACGTTTTGTAATTTTTTTTTTTTTTTTTTATCGCGTACAAATGGAAGTGCAAAGTTCTCTCGTGATACAAATTTTTTGTGCAAAGCTTCCTCCTCCCATATTCGCTACGAATAAGTTTCACGAAATTTTACTGCCACGTGTAAAATAATAATATGACGTATATATGTGTGTTTTTGCGTGTAACGTTCTAACTTCCTTTGATTGCAGGCACAGGTTGGGTTGCTTGGCTTCGTGACATCTTCAAGGACTTCGTGGAGCTCATTTTCGAGTTTGAAGCCATATTGGTCTTCGACGCGGTGCACATCTACACCAACAATTATTTCTCACGAAATGTTCAGGTAATTTTCAATCCGCGCGCTTTCGTGCTTTATTTTTTTTTTTCTATTTTCCCAAGTGTATGAACATATATATAATTTTGATTGTGATAGAAACGGAAAAGATGATGTGTGACACAAAACCTTTTAGAACGAACTAATTGCGTTCTACATAACTATGAAAATGTGTCCATTTAATACTGTCAATAATACTCTTGAAAATGGAACAAAATATCCGTGGCAGAAATATTGTATCATCCGCATTACAAATGCCGATACCAGTTTATAACGCGCATTATATAAACGACATGATTAACGATTTATCGATTATACGTGGCGACAGTTATCGCCTCGTAACGTGTGTATTCTCCTTTGATGTCAATGTCCTGACACGCTCCGCAACACAAAGAAGTTTTTACCTGTATCAAAGTGCATCGACCGTACAATAAAACTGAATGTAACCACGCAAAAATAAGAAGACAAGAAGTTTACGTCGCGAGTCTCCATATTTTCACGGGAGAGAGAAAATGCATTCTGTACGAAAATAGTAGAATTTTTTTCTCTCGCAGGGAAGATAGAGAAAATTTGTAAAAGTAGAACATCTCATTGAGATCTGTGCCACGAGAAGGACGCGCTACATCTTTTTAATTACGATTTAGCATGTTATCATTTAGAAAAATATTACCCGCTCGTTTCACAAACACATCGCGTTGGATCTTACTTGCTTCATTTCGAGCTAATTTTCGTTAGACGAGAGCGAGTTTCCTCAGAGCGAGTCTGTTATAACAGGTATTTTCGAAAGCGGAAATATGGTTCAGCACCGACGGCGAGACCTACGAAGACGAGCCCGTGCTTTATTCTTACATACCCGATCTTCTGCTGGAAAACGCTCGAAACGTTTCAATCGGTCTTCACGAGCGACGCGGAAGATTTCTCAAGCTCCAACTCTACTTCGCCGCGCGATGGATCATAATCAGCGAGGTGACATTTGATGCAAGTGAGCGTCTCTGCGATATATATATATATATTTTCTTGCTTTTAGCAACGATAATTTTCTTTGAGTTTTTTCACCCATTGTTTTCTTCTCCCGCCGGAAAACGCCGGAAACAATTTGTCACGTTCTTTTTCAAGTTTTCGCGGGTTTTCCGAGACGTCTCTCTCTCTTGTACGTTACCCGACCTAAATACGTCGATCTAAACGACGGGAAGAACTTACATACAAATAGCCACAAGCTTGTACTACTTAACCGTAATTCGCGGATCCGTAATGCTTCAAGAAATCTTGTAACGAACGAAGTTATAATGTCCGCCGGATTATCCCCTCCGTTTCTCTATTTCGCATGTATTTGCCGACTTCAATTACCTTTTTTTTAATAACCGTCACGTAGTTGTCTCAAATAACCAAGCCGCGGTATATTTCTCCAATTTTATCACACTAATGACCGTTTGAGTTAACGATGTCAACAGCGCGGGCACGATAATCCCATTTAAATTCTTACGTGAATATGTGCGCGAAATGTGTAATATTCCGCGGACATATATATACGCGTATATACGGTCGATATCAAAAAACATTTTTTTTATTTTATCTCTCCCGACTCTCTGTCTCTTTCGGCGAAATTAAATAAAACACGCTTATATTTTGTATTTAAACAGCCATCCGCTGGTTATTTGCTATTATTTTCTCTAAGTGTGACGCGTTAACTACAACGTATCTGTAATCGTGTAAATGGCGCTTTAATTTTTACATAAATTGAACAACACACACACACATACACACACACAACGGTAGAGACTTCTCTCGGAAGTTTTGACGTATAACTCACGGAAACTATATATTATTGAAAACTATTCACATCCTATGCGAACCCGTTGCAGAAATCTCGCGGTACTTGTCATGGATTCTAATTAGTTACAACTATTTTCTACTTTCAGCAAATCCTTACGAAAACAGTACGGAAGAAGCACCGTCCGAGTTTAGTAACCAAGGAATTCCAGTCAACCCCGAAGTGGATCTCAACTTACAAACGAGTAAGTAACTCGCCGAGAGTGGCATTTAATTCGTATCAATCTCGTTCTAATTAAGTGCCGGGCACTAGAAAACTTTTCATTTCTCGTACCGCATGCTTTCCAAGTAGACGGATTTGCGAGAGCGCTTCATACATTTAATATTATTTCACATTTTATTTGCTCATCGGTCTTGCCAACGTCTCTCACTTAATTGCATAATAATGTTTTATTTATTCGCGCTTGTTTTAAATATTTGCGACCTACTTTTCAAACTTAAAAAAAAAAAAAAAAAACAATTTATAACTAAGTTCAAAATTAATTTCGTCTTTAATTATTGAGCAGATGCAATGCTGCATGAATAATCACGAGTGAAAGCGATCGCTCATTAACCATTCGCCGTAATTCTTTTTCGTTAATTTTGTTATTTATACATATATATATTTTTTTTTACTGTTTTCTTTCACACTGCATATTTTTTTATGGAAATTTAAACAGTTGAAATTTTCCATTCAATTTAAATTTGTCGAAAAATAAAAATCGGCTATTTTAAATTTTATGTAGTACAACAAATAGAAAAATAAGTCTGAAATTTGTGTGTGTATCTAATTATATGCTTATATATGAATTTATCATGCTAGAAAAACCTTCAAAATTTTTAACATTTGACTTTAGGAGAAACAGTATAGAATAAAATTTTATTTATTACGTTCTTAGTTCTACATTTAATCTTTTGTTTTATTTATTTTTGTGTTATCTTCATTCGCGCCGTTCTACTGGATAATTTATTTTATTTTTAATGTTTAAACAGTAAATTTTGATGTAGAGTCAGAATGCTAAACTTAACTGAATTTTCAAATGCGTATTCCGTCCGCTTTGTGAGAGAATACAACGACATTTTATTCAACTAACTTTATTAGTGAAACGAGGCCGTTATTCTTTGCCAAGAAGATATGATTAGGAGAAGTCATAGTCCAACACAAAACAGAAAGAGATGCGGCTACATTTTATAATTCACGTAGCAACTTCCTCGTAACGTAAACAATTAGTCGGGTTAAGAGGTAGCGCATTTGAGGAAGAGAGAGAGAGAAAAAAAAAGAATAAGTGAAGAAAGAGAAAAGTGGCCGGGTCCTGGTATAATTACGTATATCTGATAGTTTGTGCCAACAACAAATCTTGCGTTGCGTTTTCCAGATCGTAAAAAAACAAATTTTAAATATACACTTTTGATCAAATAGAAAAGAAATTGCTTGTTCAGATGGAAATTTAAAATGCTGCGTGCTACACACGTGCTCCACAGGGAAAGACATATGTAATAAGAGATATATTTGAAAGGAATATTACAAGCAGATAGTAAATCTTCCGATGATATATTAAAGCGCGATATTTTTCTCGGAAAATGCGCGCGTGTGTGTGTGTGTTTTTTTTTCACGTGTGCACACGCTTAGTTTTAATTTAAGTCACATTTTTCCAATACGAAACAATTACATTACTCTTTTCTTACACGCAATATATCCCGAACAATTACATTAGCTTTTTTTTTTCTTATCCCCACAATATATCCCCCAAAACGTATGACAAAAATGTGCTGCGGTGTAAGGCGTGCCGCAACTATTAAGGACAACAAGTATAAATAAAAACACAATAATTTGTCGCCTGAACAGATAGAGGAGCGCGTATATACACAGAGAGAGGGAAATTACGTTACGAAAGGGAGGACGAGAGATGAGAATAAAAAGTGGGAGAAAACTTATAGCACAACGCGTGCGCGCGCGGAGGAAAGAGTGAGGAAGATACAGATAACAGGAAGTGCAGCAGATAAATGAGGACGCAGAAAGAGAGAATGTTGGGAGAGAAAGAGAGAGAGAGAGAGAGAGAATGAGGTATACGCGACTGCGGCCATAATTACGACTCTCTGATATACCTCCCTCCGTCGCCAACGCGAATCCTATCCCTTCCTCTATAACCTCCTCTGCCGTCGAAAAAATAGACTGAGCACTTTCCTGGTTTGCCGTTATAAATAAAAGAAACGCGAATGGTTCTCAAAATAAAACAGCCGCGAAATCGCGCGCCCGAGCAAATGCGGCACCGACCGTTGAAAAAGATGGCACGACGCCGCGAGTGGGAAGGGAACGAAAGGGTGACAAAGGATTAAAAAAAAAACAAAGTAACTAAAAACACAACATGTAAACCGAGAGCGTCCGCTTTACGGTAGTCTGAGTTCAAAAGGACGCGTGCGCGCGCGCGCGCGCGATGGTGTGTTCGCGCTCACTAATATAGTTCTTGCGCGCAGCCTGTTTTGTCCTTTTTTTCTTTCTTTCTTTTTCTTTAATGTAATTTGCGAGTGGAAACCCTAAAAGAAAGGAACAGCGCTTTCATAATTCAACCGTCGATATCCGTGCGATCGATTTATGCGGATTAGCCGATGTCTGATTCGACAGAGCGGAAGGGAAGGATTTAGAGTCATAAAGAAACGAGCAAAATAAGGTAACGAGAGAACGAAAAAACCGACAAAGAGAGAGAGAGAGCAGCGGCCGATTTCGTAATTACATATCTGCGATAGACTGTGCAAATGCCCGGGTTTTATTCCTTATTCTCTCTTGATTACAGATATTTTTTCTCCGCTCAAAATGCGAATAAAGATTATAAAAATAAAAACGACGAAATTATTTGAAATGAATTCAACAAAACCGCAGTTTACCGCATGCGTGAAATTATTTTATTTCATCGGGTATCAAAGTAATCTGTTATATTAGATAAATACGTGTTGCGTAAAAATATATACTTGATGTACTTGCAAATATATTGAAGGAAAAATCGTGAAAAATGTACAAAAAAAAAAACTGCTTTAAAAAATGTTTGCGATAAAAGACAAAAAAGACTTTTTTAAATGCAAATTTTACTACTCTTTTGTTTTTACTTTATTTTCCTGACAAGAGCTGAAAAGTTCGGGAAAAACAAAAAAAAAAAAAGCGATAAGCTAGTGTCGAAAGTATTCCAGGTCTCTTTTTAAAATTCGTAGCATACCCGCCTCGGTGTATATACACAAATAGGTTAAACAAGATAAATAAAGAATTACAAAGCGGGGCAAAAAGAAATACAATTGACTCGAACAAAGAAAAAAACGGAGCGCGCCAAAATGGCGCGTTTCGAAATCCTATCATCCAATACGAAACGTTACCAAATCCGCTAATACGTTTTACCACCACCACTATTCATTGGATAGGAAATAAAGCAACGAGTAAGCAACGATAAGCTGCTGTCTGCGTCGCCCCCCTCGATCGAAAAAAAAAAATAGAGTGGATCGCGGATGTGCGGGCAATTAATGTGCCACGTTAAAAAAAATAGGACCAGAAATTGCGTGATAAAAGAAGGGAGACGAAAGTGGGCGCAATAATAACGAGCGTAGCATGAAATGCTATATATATACACGCGCATAATGCCGGACTCTCGCGACCGCATGAGGTTTTATCCCCTAATACCGTTATCCGTTGTTTCTTCAAAAACAAAAACCTGAACCGCGAAAGAAGTAAAAAAAACGCGAAATATACGCGCGAGGACGACGAGGAGAGTGGAATACGCACGAGCGTAAAAGTGGGAATTAAAAGCGTTTTCCGCGCTTCTCTCGGGCAATTTTCTTTTTCTGTACCTACGCTGTGTGGAAGCGTCATTTGAAATCCAGATTTTTCCATCCGCGTTGGTCCCTGGCAGCGAGTACACACACGACGCTTTCACGAATCGAGCGCGAAATTGGCGTTATAACAGCCGTGGTTTTCCGCGTTTTCTATCCTTCTGCGTTTGATCGGAGAAGAGCCACCGGGGGGCCGATCTTGATCATGTCACGCAAAAAAAACCTGTTCGACACAAACTTGCCTATTTATATTCTTATTGCGAAAAATATTACAGTCGTAAAGCTGTACGGTGCTCTAAGGAGCACTTGGCCACAGAGACGGTATACGTAATAAAAAAGAAAAGTTTGCAATATAAGTCAATAACAGAGACGAGTTTTTTTTTTTAGAGAAATAAAATCCTCAGTTTTCGTTCGCGAGATCTGCAAAACGATTTTTTGACACAAAAGAATTTTTTTGCAAAATCCTCGTTATTAATTTTGAAAACTTCCATTTTCGATCAAAATGTAGATGGAAATGCACGTCAGAGAACGTAATCTCCCCTTTGTGGCGATTAGTCATTAGAGAACATTTAACAATGCCGATCGAATATGTGTGCGTCTGTATATTTTTGAAAAATCTGTGTAGTTACAGCGCCAGGAGAGGGTCAGGAATATCTGGAGGTATTGATAGGCGTACTCACCGCCATTATATTGCTGCTGTTGTTGGTCTTCTTTATTATCCTGTTTCTCAATCGACGACAGAAACTGCAGAGTTCACCTACGGTGTTGAAAAATCCATTTGGCTTTGCCATAAATATGAAGGTAAATGTATATTTTTTATAAACATTAAAAATAAATTTTTATACATTTACTTTTTAAATTCTCTTTCAAGAAACAGAGAAAAATAAGTGATAGAGAAAATTTGCTTTTTTTTTTTTATTTTTGTTTTACAGGGTCTTCTTCTAAATTTAACTCCCGGCGGTATGCTGACGGCGGAAACCGCCAATCGTGCCTCACCTGACATGCCGGAGGACGTCAGCATGCACGAATCACTTACGATGGAACAATTTAATTCGCCGCTCGTCAGTCCTCAATACAAATCCACGTACGCGATCGTAGCGAATTCCGGTGAGTGATAACGTATTGTCGAAACGTATTGTCGAAACGTTATCGCACAAATCTAAACAAACGGAAAAAACCAAAAACTGATGACGAAACTAAATTATTTGTTTGTGAAATATCAAACACCGACGATCAATAAAATAACGGTATTTTTTTTTTTTTTTTTTTTTTTCAGAATCTCCGAAGGATTTTAAAAACATAGAAATATCGGAAGAGAATGTGCGACTGGACGCGAGACCGGAGTCTGCGGTCGGTCCATCCAGCTGCGCCTCATCACCGACTAACTCGCCGGCTCGTCATTCCCAACACTACAGGACCCTTCAAAGTTATAGCAGTCCAACTAGGAAACTCAATATCGCGGTTACGCCCAATCATCAGAGGGACGTCGATCAAATTCACTCGAAACGCTGGCACACAGCGCCAAAGGAGAAGCACAAGGTACACGTTAGTTGTGTACCGTCGTACACCGTACAATTTGACTGTATGTATTTGACTGATTGCGCTTTCGCAAGGTTGAAGGAAAGTACGTTACAACATCCGCGAGACCGAACCGCCGCTACTTCAGACTCTCTTCAGACTTTTCGTTGCCAAACTGTACTTTGTGTTCATTTATCTTCTCTCTCTCTCTCTTCTTTTTTCTTCTTCTCAAGAAGTTTATTAAAAACAAATAAACTGGACTAAATCACGGTAGGTTCTCTTTTTCAATAGGTACCGGCGCCCGTCATCAGTTGGAATATTGCACCCAGTATGAACAAGCCGTACAAATGCAAGGAGATAGAGCCAACCAATATTCCACGTCAGTGCCTACGAACGACAGAAAAACTTGGCTCGAGAGATATAGGAGAGGTATATAATTTTTACAAATTATATTGAGAAATTATTGCGTCTGTAATGAGAAAAAATTTTACGAAAGTATTGTTGTTTTTAATTTTCTGTCGCGAGATTGTGTGCCAAAATATTTCTATACGGTTTTCGATACGTCGTAATAAAATCTGTAATTTAAATGTTGTGGAGAAAAAAAACTGTGGGAAAATACGATTTCGTCGGTTTGAATATCATATATTTGAGATAAAAAACACAACACGTGTAAATATACGCCCGCAGATTGTGACAGACGTGTGTTGTATGTTTCTAGAAATCAACTCGCATTTAATGTCAGTTGCGGGCGAAATGATGAAATGTAATTTGCGTATTTATCTGAACGGCGCATACGTAATATATATGTGATTACCAAACGACTTTTTCTTCTAATAGTAAATGCATCAATCATAAAGAATACAACGCACTTGTACACAGGCTATAATATGCGAGGCTGTTGGTCTGGACGAGGTTGTGTCCGGCGCATCCAGATTGGTCGTCGCCCGTGTACCTCTGTGCATCAATGACATGCGAACTAACGACACGGTAGACCAGATGAGAGAAGTGCGATTTCTGTCGTGTTTGTCCGATCCGAATGTGGCGCGAATCTTGGGAGTGTGCAACGTCGAACCAGTGCCGTGGACGATCATAGAGTACACGGAACTCGGTGACCTCGCGCATTATCTTCAGTACAGTGTCCCGCTCACGGGAACACTCAGGCCGAACTGCAATCTAAAAGCTCTCAGGTAAAATTTTTAAAATAGAAACAATTTTTTATTCAGCAGTTTGACCACCGTTACCAGATACGGCGAGAGATGAGATAAAAAAAATTCAATTGTCACTTCCAGTCAAAGCTGCCTGCTGTACATGGGAACGCAGATAGCTTCGGGCATGAGATTCCTTGAGTCGAAAAATCTGGTGCACAAGGATTTGGCAGCTAGGAATTGTCTGGTAGGTCGTTCTTACACCGTGAAAGTGACCGACATAGCTATGTGCAGCGATCTTTACAAGAAAGACTACAGCGACTTAGGAGGTAGACCGCCCGCACCTATCAGATGGTTACCTTGGGAAAGTATTCTATTGGTAAGAGATCGAGTTAACTCCGTCCTCTTCGATTTTGAAAATGTAATTTTTTTTAAAGACAATTCAAACATATTCGTCAAAGTAAATACGTTATAAATGTATAAAAGTGGAACAAGAGAGAGAACTGGGGTATAAAAAACACAATATAATATTTCAATTTTAGAACAGATACACGTGTTCGAGTAGCACATGGTCTTTCGCCGTGACACTTTGGGAGGTGATGAGCCTGGCTAGAGAAAAGCCGTTTCAACATCTGTCGAACGATCAGGTTATTCAAAACGCCGAGCATATGTATTACGGAGCAGAGTTGCAAGTAAGCATTATCGACAGAAATATCTTGCCTTGTTCATTCTTCAAGCTTATTGATTGATCCAAAAAGAAACATCTTATTTCGTCAATCAATCGACTTCATAATCGATGACATCTCCGCTAATAAAATTGTTTCTTCTATTTTGTTTGTTTCGCTTTATGTGTGTTTTCTTTGTCACAATTTCAGGTACTTCTACCAAAACCAACAATGTGTCCGGAGGAAGTTTATCGGATGATGTGCACGTGTTGGAGAAGAGACGAGACATCGCGACCAACCTTCAAAGATATCTATACTTTCCTAAAGAATGTAATAGCGGACTATCGACCTGGTGCATAAGTAATCTCGATTAACTGTGATACGAAATGGACGGTCAATCTCTTCAAATAACACGAGCTACATCGTTGAGACTATTTCGAAGTGAAAATGAAAAAAAAAAACGTTATTCGAGATCGTCTGACTCGCTGAGAACATGAGAGAGACGCCTCGCGAATCAGATTCTCCAGAAATGTACAATCGTTAGTTTTAGACGTTTTATGTGTATCTCAAAGAGGCGTTGGACCTCGCCATCTCTCTCCTTTTTTTCGCGCGTATGCGCGACAAGTAAAAATAAAAATCCACACTCCGAAACTGCAAACTTAGCAGCGATCGGAGAATTCCCGCAGAATCTATCGCTCGTAAATCCGTTCGTCCAGACGAAAGCAAAGACGATAATAACGTACGTTGTAACCCCGGAGCGAATGCCAAACAAGTGTGAGGATTGTATACAATTATCGAGTTATTAACGAGAGCGTCGGGTTTTTGTTTGCTTTTTACGATATTTAAGATCACACGTAATTTGCGTTTTCAATTTGAGTTTAACAAATCGCGTCACTTTCGTCTGAACGAATCACCAATGAGACATTCTTTCATTTTCTAGTCAAATATAAATCTTTAATTCTCACGAAAGTGCTATCGTGTACAGTATTCTGATATTAATAATGTGTAATGTATGCGCTATACTATATGCTCAGTACCGATGAAGTCTATCCATTTGTACATACAAAAATCTAGATTTTAACACTAGGTGTATAAAAGGGAAATTTTTACGGCAGTAGACGTCACGACGGCTGTTCTTGTTTTTTCCTTGTCCATTCTGTGGACGATGTGCGGAAGAGCTGCCGACGCAATGAATTTGTTTTTTTTTTTTTTTTTTTTTTTTAATTATAATTTACGAGTGTAATGTAAATTGAGCCGAAATGGCTTGGAATTAAATGTAAAAAAAAAAAAAAAGAATTTAGCCGTTTTTCGGAAAAGAGTTAATGTTTAGCGAAATTAAATATAGAGACACGAGGCTATTTTGTTAGCTTGTCCCGTCTTACTACGCCCTAAAAATTTCGGCTTAGTCAGAACGTGTACATTCGAAGCCCGTCAGTAGTAAGTACTTATTATATTCCGTTATTCTCCGTTTTTAAGTTCGAACTGTAATGTGTTAAGAGGTGTAGACTCTTCAAGTATATGTTCTTCCCAAGGACGTAATGCGGACACGTATCTTCGCTCGTTTTTATTTAAGAGAGCAGACAAATGCTAAAACTAACTAGCGATGAGTATTATGCTTTGGAGGAAACCAATAAAACTTTAAACAACACACGTCACGCATTTCTTAGAATTTTGCATTATCTCAATGGGGTAACGTTTGAACGTATTGCGTGATTAATGAGGCGGCAAGATATATACAACTAATAGCACATTGTATTTTTATCATTAAAGAAAAGGAGAGATGAAAGAGAGGAAGAAAAAAAAACACTTGGAAACGTTCAAACGTTTCACTCCTTGCTGTTTACACATGTTGAACAATCTTGATTTGTTTTTTTATCATTACAAGTGTTTCTAGATTATAGCAGAGATTACATAAAAAAAAGCAGAGTTTGTTTTATCAATTTCAATTGGAGATGAACTCGATGTGAAGTGTTTTATTGAGTGTTTACAAAGTGTTTTTCGATTTTTTGATCTTTTCTATGATTTCAATTCAGTAATAATAAGTTTATTCAGTCATCAAGCCGACTGCTTGGGCTTGCTTTTATTTTAGATTTTTTTTTTTTTTTTTTTTATTTGGATTTCTAAAAACGTTTTCTTATTGTCTGTTTGTTGCGCACATCTGATCTCTTGTTTGCTACGTGCAAATAAAGAAGAAGAACGGGGAAATGGAATTCCCCGAAGAACATTACTCGAACTGTTATTCCGAGAATTAATAACGTAGAAAATTTGCGCGTGTCTTTTGTCAGATTTAATTATCTCGTTTAGAAGATGCGCGCGTAAACTTCCACTGGTGGTTAAATATTAATGTATATGTTTTCATTCTATAATGTGAATGTACGATACCAGATAATGAGAGCGACAAAAAAAATCGATCGAACGCGAGACTGATAAACTTGTTATACAATTTTCTATATATATCACTTGGAACAATATTTGTTTAATATGTGAAAGATATAGTTGATCACAATTTTAATCTCGATAAATCAAGGAGAAAAATTTTTTTATATATGAGAAACGGGAAGAAGGTTATTGAAATTTTAAATAGTAAAGAAGAAAACAATTATTTACTATTGCGTTAATTGCAATAGATATTTAGCGTTGAAAATTTGAATATAAATTTACAAATATAGAACAATACGAATATCCATACGAATTTATATCTACAGACGTGAAACCGGTAATCTTTGTCTTATGTACAAGAATAATGTGTGTGTTTAATCAAATTCGAGAATACATTTGGTGCGCGCATCGTTGAGATGAAGATAAATATAATAGTGCAAAAAGATTTTTAAAAAAAGCAGAGATAATTAACAGCAATAAACCATATCTATAATGCTTGCAAAATTATATAATACATTAAGAACGTGTCTTCTACATTGAACTTTCTCCGTTATGGTACGTTCAACTGACCTTTGACTGTTATCAACAGTCAAAGCTTATCAATATATATATATATATATGTATGTTGCAGAAAGTTGCGAAACAATCGCAATGCTGGTAGTATTGTATTTCACGAAATGCAACGAGGATACCATCAACGAGAATTCAGAAATTCCCCAAAGTGTTTACAGCGTTTTCTGTGCTGAGATCGCACTGCGCACTTTTATCACTCGATGAATCACGGCAAGCGCCGACAAATATCACATGACATAACGATGATAATCAGAGGTATGTCAAAGCTCGGCTTACGAATATGTGAGTCGTGCGTGCGTGCGTGCGTGCGTGCGTGCGTGCGCGCGTGCGTATGTGTGTGTATCGCGTAATGGAGGTAGGTGTATTTATATAATGGCATGTCGCGGGAAAGTGAGCATTGAATTGTCGGTTGTCAGAATCACACGCCACTCCGACGCTTCTACTTGCTGAAAGAATGAGGTCCTACACGTTCGTGTCCGTCGCTCTCGCAATCGTCCTTTCTTACACCGGTAAGTCATTTTTTTTTTTTTTACATGTTAAACTCACGTCAAATAAAACCTTGTGCAGAATAATAACAATACTGTTTTCTGTAGAAACATGATAATATGTGACAAGACGTCGTTTTCTTTACGTCGTTCTTTGCCATTTAAATTTTTACTCTAAATATTTAAATGTAAAATACGCGTTGATATATATTGTAGATTCACTTTAATATTTCTGTAGTTCAAGGACGCTTAATCTTGTACATATATTTCAACAAAACTTAATTCAAATGACTCAAGTACATTTTCTCCTAGTTTTTCAGATGTCTGTATTTATATTATAAATTAAAATTTACATTATTTGTTTATTAGTGTATTCTTTCTTGTTATTTTTTTTTGAACTAAACACTTTGTATCTTACAATATAGTACAATTAAAACAACCAATTAAATAAATCTACGTGTAAAAGTTTGACGTTTAACTACAAAAATAATAATAAAGTTTATTTGAGCAATTTTTAATTAGTTCTTTAAGTTAGTTTAATTAGTTCAATTAGTTGTTTTATTAAAAATTAATTTCTTTTGTTGATTCTCGTATAGTAAATATATTTAAAATTCCAAGTTTTTCTGCGTACAACTGAAATAATATTGCTAGTTAATTATTTGTTTAAAATACACCGTAATGATAATTGATAATAATCAGTATTATAAGAAAGGATTTCTCTTTTTAGTATGTGTCAATACAGTGGTGGTATGTCCTCAAGAAAATTGTATTCATCCCAGTAAGTGTGACGACTCACCAGACAGTAATATGAGTAATTTTCTTTGCTTAAATAAGCAAGATGCAGCTTCGTGCTGCAGTGTTGGTAAGTTTTATACATTTTTGCATATTTAAAACTACTTAAAATAATTAGATAATCGGTCGCACACTGTCCGTCTATATTAGTAAATTTAAGATGAGATAAAAAGTATGTACATTGAGAATCGTGACGAAACTCAGGATGATGTTGCGGAATTAATAAATATGTATCATTGTCGTTAGAACATTTCGTTTATACAATCGTCGCGCGGAATGCAGTATAAATGAAAATTAATTGCTTTCGAAACACAAGAATTTATTTCATACCGTAAACGTCTAGCGTTATGTATCAATTAGATCGATAAGTCAGAGCATATATCTCTCGTTAAAACGTAGTTATTTGTAAAATTACATATCGATGTTTTCGCATCGGTTAATCTTTTTCGATAAATATACCTACACGATTATTTGCTCAAGACGATGTTTTTCCGACGAACGTGAATCGACGTCAGAAGTGATATCACATGCAGGATTCATATCGCATCGCGTTACGAATTTCGCAATTATTACACAATTCATTCGCGCACTTTTGCACAGCGCAGTTGTGTCTATTTTTATACGTGTCCTTCGACTATTTCCGTGATATTGTATTAAACATAAACAGACATATCGCACAAAAGCAGAATTATTGTGTCTTGACAATTCATATTTTTAAATTCTTGCAACATATTCGCCGATTTCCTCATTTAAAGTCTTACTTTCCGGAGCAACTTTTATCTGTACGCAAAAATACAGTACTTTCTTCCGGTGAAATCCGCTAATCGAATTTGTTTTTTTATTATAATCACATTTCTTTTTTTTTTTTTTCTAAAACAAAATTCTTTTTCTTACAGTTAAGGAGGAATTTCGAACCCATTGCAAACATCACGGTGGAGAATGTATGAGCTCATGTTCCTCTCTTCTGACGCGAAACGCAGTCGATTGTTCAAACAATGAAGTTTGTTGCGTTTTGGTTTGAAACAGTCTAACAATAGCAATGTAACAATATAATCTGGTTACAATTATGAGTATTATTTTAATTTAGTCGTAAGACAAAATATTAACAATTTGATATTTAAGGCGTTTTTAGTGTCTTTGATATAATAATTTAATAATTGGGAATAAGGAAGTTTTCTCATGTAACATGCCAAAATTTGAAGCATTTTTGTAGAAATTTTTAAAATGAAAAACATCAAGACGCAATCTTTTCAATTTCTTTTATATGTTATTATTTGAATCTTATAATTCAAAAATAAATTTTTTTGTCATAATTTATTAATACTTTGATTATGCTTTCTGCAGTCAAAGATGACGTCTTGAAAAAAAAGCGGTGAAAGTAAATTCAGCTCACACAGTCATTTGAAACTAAAAATTCAAAAAGATTCTTAATTTGTATGTCCGTCATTATCGCAAATAGCAGGATCGTTTTGGCAAAAATTTCTTATTTTTTTCGACTACCACCAAGCAAACAAAAATTGCGATTTTCTACTTCAAAGTTTTAAATGGTTATTTTTTTTTCTTTTTTACAAAAATAAGACCAATTCTTACATAATGAAAACCTTACATAATGTATACTAAAAATGCGTGCTTTCTCATCGTCCTGTATGCCAAATTATATACTTAAATTACTATTTACAAAATGTGTAAGAAAAGAAATTTACATTATAAACTTTTTAAATAAAAATTTTTTTGTGAGTAAATTTTTCCAAGAAAACCTCTAATACACCATTACATAATGTTACGTTTTGAGAGATTATATCCTAATTACAAATATTATTTCACACAGGTTATCTAACTTATTTCAGTTTATCTAAAAATTACTTCAGAGTTTATCTTATCAATAAGAGAAAAAAAACAATACAAAATATTTCGTAATATAGATAATATAAATTTAATGTGATTTATTTCATATTTTATTTTATTTGCCCGTAATTGTGATATTTAGTCTATTCTTCATTGATACTATTTAAGCATTACGAGTGTTTATTTGATCACAGAATATTAATCATCATCACTAAATAAATAAATATATGATGTTCAATTGCGATTGCTCAATGCAATTAGCTATTCGATTGGCCACATTTGAAATCTACCGTGTATCATAATTGTAATATAATTAATAATAATTTGTAGAGAAACTATACGCGCGGAAAATTGCAAACCTGTTTAGAACCGTGTAATTGATTAGTAACTTATTAATTATTTGCGATTATATGATACATAACTAACACGATCGGTTATGTTTAGACACCAACTGATAAATCTTATTGTTATTTTTAGTTTTTAATAATTAAAAAGTTTTTTTAGTTTTTAATATTAACATTTTTGATTGACAGACTTGCCGAAAAGAAGTTGAAAAAATCCTCGGTTTTAGTACGTATATATATATGTATGCGACATCCTATTCATGCTCCTTAAATGATAATTTTAAAGGGAAAAGAAGAGAAAACAAGGGGTGGGGGGAAAGAGAAGACAAGGAGGATATACCGTGAAGTTTTATTCGAAACGAAAGTTACCCTAGAGGGGAAGCAAGCTAAGGCGGTTGACAAGAGATCGGTCAAGAAACATCGTGTACGAGAGAGGCGGCCAAAAGAAGGACAGAAATAAACGAAGGAAATAAAAAAAAAAAAAAAAAAAAGAAAGAATATATACGGAGCAAGGAGAGAGCTTATGCTTTGCCATGGGCGATGCGGCCAGAACGTAGGATAATACATGTATATCTCTGTACCGACATACGAAATTATATTGGTTAGTCTTCAACGATCAAGAATTACGCAATGAAGAAGAAAAAAAGCAATACCCGATCCGTCGTAATATATAACCTAGTTTATCTCATATTTTATTTGCCCGTAATTGTGATATTTAAACTCTCTTTAATTCTCGTGCTGTGTAATCTTCAAAAATTAGCAAATAGAGATTTAAAAAAGGCACAAAAAGATCTTTAAGGCGAGATTATATGTAGATAAAATCGTAGTTGATGTGTGAAAAGTTATTTAAATTAATTTGAAGACAATGTCGCATAAAGTTTTGCTGTAAAAAAGAAGCAACGAAAAACTAATCTTCTCCGTTTTACTCATTTTCTCTATTCCTTCCACGGTGTAGCACACACACACACACACACACACACACACACACATACGCGAGTTTTATGCCACACAGGAAATTATTATGTAGCAAATGAGAAACAGGTGTGAAGCTAAAATAGAGAATACGATTATTATGGCAATATGGGAAAAGGACAGGTTGGAAAATGAGACACGTTAGGCGAAGGTCGCAGGGGAGCCGTTGACATTTCCATCGCGCCGCAATATCGCCATCGTCATTCCGCTTCAAATTTCTCTTATTTCTCTTGTAACGCACGCAATTGAAAAATATGCGACGAGAGAGGAGCCGAGGAAGAAAAAGCGCGCAGAAGTTGCGTCGCCGGGAGCTATACGGGCAGATGCCAATATGACGGTACACGTACGTATTCGCGCGAGAGCCGTTTCGGTTTGGGCCCGGGGGTAGAAGCGCATAATATTACGCGGGTAGAACAAGAAGAGACGCCATCCCCACTACCGCGCGATTCTCGCCCGCGGCGTCCTCGAGCGAGGACACCCGGAGGGTTGCTCAGGTCCGAAGATACGAGAAGAGAGCGCATACAGCAACTTCAACCAAGGGTCGCCGATAACGAAACGACGATAACATATTATCTTCCACGCGAGCAAGCGTGTGCGCGCGCGCGCTCACGCTAGTAGTTTAAAGAGCGAAACGAAAAGTAGTAGATGAAGAACTTTGAAAGTAAATTTCGCGAGAGATGCGCGCGGCGACGCCCGCGGTGGCAGATTATCCTAATCTTATTATTTTTCTTGCGATAAATGATGCCATCAAGAGCAAGTAGAATGCGAAGTTCGAAGAAGAAGAAAGAGGAGGAGAGGGTGGCGCGCCCCGCCGTGGGCGATGCAGGGGAATGCGCCGCGGCGCGATGCGATGTGGTACATGTGCGCGTACACACACATACACACACACACGTAGCAGTGCGCGCGCGCGATTATGCACTTACATGTATACGTATTAATATGTATATGTATATATACAAGAATCATTTCGGTTGTGGCCCCCCCGGGCGAAGACGCGAGAGAAGAAAGAGGACCCGTGTACGTATACCCTTTTCTTCTTCTCGCACGTACGTCCCTATCGTTGTGCGCGAGAGACGCTTTCCCCGGGGGTAGACGCGCTGTGCTCTGTACCCCCATCTTGAAGCGGTGGCGGGTAGAGGCATGGTCGTTCTGCTGCGGGCGCGGAAACGAGAGGAGATAGCGGTCGAGCTTCGTCCTCTCTACCTTCGTGTCCCAGTGAGTGAGGTGGTCGGAAGGGGCGAGAGCGAAGGGTGAGAGAAGGAGGAAAAGAAAGAGAGAGAACGAGAGGGATCTATATTGGCCCGAGGATATCCAGCGAGACAATGCGCTCCGTGACGCCCCGGGCGGCTCCAAGGCAGACCGTAGTTCTCCCTCGTTTTCTGCTCCCTCTATCCGTCCTGGCCTGTGGCGATTCTTCGTGCTCTTCCGTCCCCGCTTCTCTCATTCTTCCATCTTCTTCTTCTTCTTCTCGTCTCCTTCTTCTTTTGCTTCCTTCTCTCTTCGGTGACCCATCGTTTTTTCTTCCAAGAGAGAGCCTTTTTCTTTTACATAAACTTTGCTGATATTGAAATTATTCTGCAAGATATATATATATATATATACAATATATATATATATATATCGATAAACGCGCATATAATTTCTAGCTGGAAAATTTATTTTTCAAAAGATTCTTATCTCGGTTAGAGAAACATAAAATATCGCGAAAGCCGTTGGTTTTTCTCATTCAATATCCTTCTTATTCAATATCCCAAAGAACAATTTTATGTGATTTATAACTATCGTCTCTTTTGAATATATCTCGCTCTGATCAACTTTTTAATTTCTCGTAAAAATCAATGAAGAAAAAATAGATCTTTTGAAGTCTTCAACACGTGATGATTGACTTTTACGACCAACAAGTAGACAATTTTTTTAATCGAGTCTCAGTTTTTTTTTCTCGACATCCTATAGTTTTCTTCGTGTTACAATTCCGTGTGTCGTCTATATACACGCGGTCGAATTATCATTACACACACACGAGCGGCTTTCGCGGTTGTCTCACATTCAACGCTTATTTTTCTGTTTCTCACTCACGGATGTTTCCGCGGCGCCGTCATTACTACTCACTAAAACCTCGGCAATTGTCTCCGAAACGTGTGTTTCCACGACGTAAAATTTCTAGAATGTCACCCCAATTGTGGAATAAAGCGTTCTTCTGCGTCCCTTCTTCTTTACCGTCAGCTCTCTCGTCTCTGCGCCCTAACATAGTCACCACTTCTATCTTCTCCTCCTTCTCCCCATTCTCCTCCTCCACCTCTGTGTTGCGTTTCTCTCTCCTAGTGCACGCTCGCTTGGAGGGAGTAACGATGCCCCGGAGCGAGCCTCCGCGGCGCGGCACTGTGGTAACGATAAGCAACGAAATGAAATATTAATGAAGTACCTGAGCGCACGTCCATTTTTCGCGAGCGTCTCACCACCAAACGCCCCGGGTGCCGAAGAAAAAGTCGGCTGGCTCATCGGAAGTAAAAGAATCATCGCTAGAGAACAGAAGAGAAATAAAAAAAAAAAAATAAAAAAAAATAAAAAAAAAAAAGAAGAACCGACTGCTGTGTCATCTTTATGACGCTAGGATTGCTGCGATATATTTTCTCGGCTTAACAATGACGTTGTTACCGAAAAGATAGTATTACGTGGTTATTCTCTAACCATTTGACAGACTAAAGAAGATTGTTATTATTATTATCATTTTCTTGCGTAGTCTTTCACGTTTACCTTATTTGCTCTTATCATATATATATTTTTGTTATAATTTAAATTATACTTGAAAGAGCTTTTAAACCCGTGAAATAATCGAAACATAAAAAGCTGTTCTTTAAAGAGAAGATGAGTTTCAAGGAAGAGGAATGAGGGAGAAATGAAGCAAT